TGTCAAAGGATTGAATTGGATCAGCTCGGCTAAGTCTTAGCAAATGGGCTGATGGGGGGGGGGTATGTAGAAAGCTGCTTTCTTTTTAGGGTAGTGTCTGTGTAATTTTTTTTTATTTTAAGGAGAACAACAGGCAAACAAGTAAAACAAAAATATAAACATGTGAACTGCCAAAGGATTGTTGCTTCTATTTGGACAGTCTAGGACAGAGGTAGCCAACATATTGGCCCTGTAGCAATGGTGAAACTACAAATCCCATTAGGCATTGCAAAACTCTGACAGCCACAGGCATGGCTTCCAGAGGCATGATAGAATTTGTAGTTTCCCCACAACTGGCGGGCCGAAGTACTGCTGGTCTAGGACTTTACAGATACTGGCCACACTGCTTGTTGTTTTGGACCATCACACTAATAACACCTTCCAGTAAGCAGGCATAAATAAATGATGAGGACCCTTAACATCTAAGCATTGTGGTGGGTTGCGGTAACGCACAAGTGCTAATGTACATTGCGGTACGGCAACCAGTTCATTCTAAATAGGCTGCAAAACGCACCACAATGCATTACAAAATTCACCTACAGCTCATTTTTAATGCGCAGCAATGCACAGTGGCATTGAGAATGCATCTTGGTGAAACAGATGGCACAATGGCAATGCACAGGTAGGCAGCCAACCAAAAAGGTAATGCTTGGCTCCCCCAATCCCTACATCCATCAGAGAGATGGACTCAAACGCCCTTTATTTGGACATAGAACAGAAAAGTCGGCAACATGTGAAAATTATTTCCAGGGATACATTAGCGCTGATGTGGGCTAGTTACCTAATTTTCTATAAAAATTGCATATTTATTTGAAACTGGACTGTAGCAGAAATTAGTATGGGAGAGGTTTTACTCTGTAATTTTTATGTTTTCGGTATCTTTGTTGGGGAGATTTCTCATGTTTTATCCTGGTGACCACACATAAGGTATAAGAGGATTCTCCTAAATGGGGGAACTGATGGTAAAAAAAAAAAACCTGACTTTTAAGTTTTCTCCATTCTTCTAAAATAAGATTTTATTGTCATATGTGTATCAATATATCTTACTTCCTGTCCCTGTGACAAGACAGGAAGTAAGAAAAATCCTCCCAGCTAGGGTACTGGAGGTAAAAATCTAAACACTGACAGGCTTATTCATAAAAGGGTGACGAGTTTGGAGAAGGCAGGAGAAGTGAACAATCTAGCCCAAAATAGCTGATTTGGAAAAATTCTCCAATTCAACTCACTTTCCAGCTCAACTATGTTGTCCTAGATTGTTCACTTCTCCTGCCTTCTCCGAACTCTGAATAACCCTTTTGTGAATAACCCTGTTATTGACCCTGTGCTTGTATCGCACGGACATCAGATATGGAAAGCAGGTACATAGAATGCTGCATATATGCAGGTCTATATACCTTGCAGGGCACTTCGGGGCTCTGAATAAAATGAGTGATTAGCTACTGTGCTCCAGGGTTTGGGTCTACGCTCACTCACATCATAACTATGACAGGTGGCCTCACTTGCCAGCAATAGAGGGATGGGCCAAACTTACCCCAGATTTCAGGGCTTTACCTGCAAGGTGCATAATCATACATCCAGGTATAGCTAGGTGTCAGCTTTCCATATTTGCTGCTTAGTGATCATTTTTAGGTCCTGTCTCAATGTACATTTGTTCACGTCAAACGGGTTTGGCATTTCAATACAAGTCTATGGAAATGCAAAACTTGCTTGAAGCAGGTCAAATGCAGGTCATAGCGAGGTCAACTGCAGGTCATAGCAAGGTCAACTGCAGGTCAAATGCAACTGTCAATGGATGAGTTCAAGTTGATATCAAACCACAGTCACCTTAAGCAAGTGAGTGTCAATAGATAGAATTGATCGCAATATTCTAAACTGATAGGGGTGGTGTAAAGTTCATCTGTGACCCAAATCAAGGATTTTAACAAACTTTGTTGCAGATTTCTTCCTTTTACTGTTCTGAAGAAATAGCTGTCTGTCCTAGACTGATTCCTGAATGGCAGGGTCAGGTTCATTATAACCACCTGGTGAAACCTCAGTGTTCTAATGAGGAAAAGTGCAGTGTTTGCATCCCTTTAGAGTATCTATCCCTTAGGGCCCGGTAAGACACCAGAATCGGGCCGGAACGCACTGGAACGCATTTTGGTCAGCTCACTTTGTTGTGGGGCAGGAGGGGTGTGGCAGCCTATTGAACTCAATGGCACTGTAGCTATGCCCTCCGGCTGCAATGCGACGAGCAGCACGGGAACGCAAGGCACATCAATGCCTGCGCTCCGGTCTGAAAAAATGCTGTAAGCATTATTTTTTCTGATCGGAATGCAGGCATTGATGTGCCACACGTTCCTGTGCCCCCTTCCGCCCCACAACAGTGCATTCTGGCCCGATTCTTATGTCTGATGTGAACGGGCCTTTAGGGACTATCTCACCAAAAAGGAAATTTCTATCCATGCTTAAAATTTGACTTATCTTATTTATCTTATTTTGCGTAGAAGTCTTAGTGTAGACTTCTGGGAAAATCTGAGAGCCAATCACATAAGCAGGAAGTGAAATTTCTTGGGACATTCCATACACAAACGGTGTACAGAACACCTCCAGGTTGCCATATTGCATTGAATTTTTTGAACGGTTTTAGAAAATTACAGCGGCTTTAGATTGAAATAGCAAAGTAATTTTTAAGAACATTAAAGAACAACTCTGGGTAAAAAACTTTATCAACCCTTGCAGTGGGGCTACCCTTGCACTGCAAGGATTAAGTGCTTCTTTTTGCCTAGGGTCAGGTTTATTGAGGCACAGCAGTGCGAGGAGCAGTAGTGATGCACAAGGTGCAGTTACTCAGAGTAAACCATCAGAGATTATTTATTCACCACGGATACTACAGTAAAGTGAAAGCAGATTGGTTGCTATAGGCCACCGCACTTTGCACATCATTACTGCTCTTCATGCTACTTTACTGTCTAAGCCCACATGTGATAAGGGAGGTAGATTTACAATATTTGGTCAAATCCAGACATATTTCTACCTTCAGAAATGTTCTAGCACGTTGGGAAATTGCTGTGATCATTGTTCCTTTTCTCCATAGAAAAGGGCAAACTCCCTAGCATGCACTGGTCTGGTGCCGCTGTCAAAGATCGCCCCAGTCTGGGTCAAAAGTGGTGGCAGATTTGCTGCTTCTGCAGCCATGGAAAGGGAGGACAACTTGTCAGGCCTACCCAGCGTTTAAGAACTTAAAATGACACTAAACTCAGAAGCTAAATCCTAAAAATGCATTCAGGTACCCGAACTATTCACAATACTGGACCTTATTTGTGTATCACTCAGCTTGGAGTGGTGACTACTTTACAACACACACAGGGACCATGGGGAACAAAAGTAGCCCCCCTCCAGAAGGAAGGACAGTGTCAGCACCAATTCAGAGATGATTTAAGGATCTACAGCCGAGTGATATACAAATAAGATACATTTTTGATAATAGTTAAGGTACTTGAATGTATTTTTAAGATGTAACTCCTGAGTTTAGTGTCAATTTAAGCTTAATTTATTTAAGGGAATTATTAAAGCAGAACTCCAGCCAAAACCAACAAGATAAAAATGATTAGCCCATTAACAGATGAAATAACAAATGCAGCTTTTGCGGCAAAATTCACCTTCAAGCCAGAGATTTTCCCCACAGTGCCTTTTACTGCCACTAGATGTCCTCAGTCTGATGGGCAGCATCATTCAACCCACTTCCCCTGAGCCCAGGTTGTCCTGGGTCCACCCAATCTATCGCTGAACTGTAAATGAAGAAGCAGTACAGTGGTTAGCTCAGGTCTCTGTCATTTTGCTTTCTCCTCCTATCAGCTCGCTCCTTGTTAGCACATGAACTGATTGGCTCTTTGTGCTGCTCTCTTATCTCATACTCCAGCTCTGTTCTACAAGGACTGTAAGAGGCTGATACCAGGTCAAATGTAGGTACTTGCACTTAAAAATACATTTAATGATGAATACAGAGAGTAATTCATATGTGTCTTTTATTTCTGCCTGGAATTCATCTTGTTCTCCAATGTTTTGTTTTAGTTATTTATTTTATAGAATGAAAAGGAAAGGACAGATGTCTCTATATTTGTCCGGCATACCCGACACCTAGGAAACTACATGTTATTGAATTTACTAAAAAAAAATCACATGCACTCACTACAAAAAGGAATTATTAAGAAAATATTCTCTGATGTCTTGTTTTATTTATTTTACAGAATCAACAGGAAAGGACAGATGTCTCCATACTCATCAGGCACAACCGAAACCTAATAACCTAAATATCCTTACATTTAAAAAAGAATTCCCATAAGGTCACTGCGAAAAGAAAATTATTCAGAAAACATTCTCCAGCTTCTTGTTATAGTTATTTATGTTATAGAAACAACAAGAAAGGATAGATGTCTCTATTCTCATCAGACAGACCCGGCACCTAAGAACCTAAATTTCATTACATTTTACCAAAAATCCCCATACGGTCACTGCAAAAAGAAATATTATTCCGGAAACATTCTCCGATGTCTCGTTTAAGTTGTTGTAGTTATTTATTTGATAAAAACAGGAAAGGACAAATGTTTCTATACTCATCAGGCATACCCGAAAACCTAATAACCTAAATTTCATTAAATTTTACAAAAAAGTCCCATACGGAAAATTATTCAGGAAACATTCTCCGATATCTTGTATTAGGTATTTATTTGACAGAATCATCTCTAATCTAAGCAGCCTGAAATTAATCTGACGCATATAAATTAGCAGATTCGATTCCAGGACTGTAAACCCTTCCGATAGTTTAATATGCACATTCACGGTGTTGCCTTGCTAAATATAGCACCCTCTGCAAAAAAAAGAGTTAGCATGAAAAATGACAAAAATGCTAACACAAGAGGAGGGCAGCACAGTGGCGCATTGTTTTACCATGCGATGGGAAATGTAGGTTATGCACATACCCCGCTTCTGATGTATGACATGAGTCCGAGGACTGATTGCTCCTGGGATAGCCTGCAGCAGAGATCTGTCTTCTCTTGTTCACACAATTTTTTTCATGGTCACTGAAGAGGCCCTTGGTCTGTGTGGAGTTTGCAGCAACAAGCTCCGAGTCAAGCTGAAAACCATTCAAGATCCCATTGCCAGACCTGCTGTCTGTTGCTTCGTGCTGGTAGCCGTCAGTCCTGTGCTGATATGAGGCGAGAGTGCTCTTGGACACTTTATACCCATGAGAAACTAGGAGGTCCTCCACGCTGAACATGCTGTGTTTCCTGGAGGAACTGCTATGCCGGGGCAAACCTTACTTTCAAAGGGTCTTTCATCACTGAAAGGAAAAAGAGTAAAATAAATATCACTCAGCACGTGTTACATTCTGGTTTAAGAATCCAGCACTCTGCAGACTTTTTTTTTTTTTTATCATGACAGACTTTGTTAAGTTACCTAATGTTAAATTATATGCAGATGCTTTGATGACTAATGTGAGGATCCAGCCAAGAAAAGGGCCTGTATGGCCAGCCGCAGCAGGGATGAGATTAGGCTGCTGACTCTGCTTATTTTAGAAGGTGCTTTAGAACCAGGAAACAGTTTAGGAAATGGTAAATGTCTAAAATAATCAATACAAGGATAACATAGGGTGACACAAGAGTTGCATGTGGTGGACGCTGAGCTTTTGTATTGCAATGAGACCAAAGCTGACCACAGACCAGAGTCAAAGCCAGATTGTACTTTTGGTTTAAATAAACTTAAAGTGACACTAATCTTAAAAATACATTCTAGTACCTTAACTATTAACAGAAATGTATCTTATTTGTGTATCACTCGGCTGTAGATCTTCAAATCATCTCTGAATTGGTGCCGACACTGTCCTTCCTTCTGGAGGGTGGCTACTTTTGTTCCATATGGTCCCTGTGTGCATGTTGTAAAGTAGTCACCGCTCCAAGCTCACTCCTGTGATGGACTACAATCCCAATACAAATTAGTAAACTAAACATGAGATTGTAGTCCATTATGGCCATCCTTTTCCTGATGAACCGCAAATGACAGCTCCGAGCCGGATGTAAACAAATGTGCAAAGCCAGTCGTGGCGTCAAGACTAGCACCGCCCATTTGTTTTTATGCCATGACAGCTCACTGACCTGAAATGGCATGAAAAAAATAGGTGGTGCAAGTCTCGTGACATCATGGCATTAGCCCCGCCCTTTTGTTTACATTCAGGCCAGAGCTGTCATTTGCATTGGGAATTTGTCGGTAGCGGTTGGGTTGTCGGGCAGTGAGACTTTTTTGTTTTGATTTTTGAGTTGATTGTTTTGTTTTTGAGTCAGTAGGCATCGTTGATCATGACGCTGGATTACAACGCTGGACGACGTGACTGACCATGGATTATATTGTTGGACAATTTTTTTTATTTTTTTTTACTAATAAAGGAATTGTCAAAAACTGTATTTGTGTTTTTTGTTGAATTAGAGGATTTTTTCAAAAGTGTGGTGTGTTTATCTACTTTTGATTTAACCCTTTGGTGAACGAGTAGATGTAACAACTACCCCTTACTCATTCAGAAGGGGGGTGCGGCATCTGGGTGCCCCCTTTATGAAAGGGGGTACCCAGAGGCAGATGAGCCCCCCTGCCCGCAGACCCCAACAACTAGCGAGCCAGGGTTGTGGGGAAGAGGACCTTGTCCTTATCAGCATTGGGATAAGTCACGTTTCCAGAGGGTCTGGAAAAGCACCCTCCCAATGCTGAGGGCATGTGGCCTGGTATGGTGCAGGAAAGGGCGCTCGCTGGTCCTCCCCATTCCTGCCCTGCCAGGCCAGTGCTTGAATTAAGGGTCTAGTTTGCCATTTTAGGGGCGTTGGGGTCCCCCTCTAACATTCCTACCAGACCTGAAGGGTCTGGTATGGTTTGGGAGGAGGACCCCGCGCTGTTTAAAAAAAAATTATTATATTGTTTAACAATTTGCAGAGAGTCGGTTTGTTTACCAGACCAAAAGGGATGTTCATTGTTTGGGTTTACATATCTACGGCGGACCGTTCTCCCCGCTTCGGCTGTGTCTTCAGCTCAGCCGGGGTGAACCATATGCCTTCGGCTGCCGTAGGGCTATTATGAATAGCCTGTAAAGCAGCCCTTCGGTTTGGTTGAACCAAAGGCTTTCCGCAGCCGAACCGAGCTGAAGGATTATTCGAACATTCGGTTATATCCTTCGGCTCTTTAGTGAATAACCCCCTAAATAAAAAACTGCTAGAAGCAAGAAGAAGCATTGTGTTGGCAGAAGAGAATTTGCATGTCTCTTCTGTAAAGAAAACTCTTCTCTCCAGCATTTTTAATCTTTTTTAGTTTAGTTCCACTTTATTAAAAGCTTCAGACTAACACAGCTAAAACAACTTTTGGAATTAAAGTAGAATTGAAGCCAAAATATTTTTACTTTTGAATAGAGTTAGAGATTATTTTTACCCTTAGCTTTTTTTGCATCCCTGTCTGGACACTATCTGCAAGGAGTTTGCATGTTCTCCCTGAGCTTGTGTGGGTTTCCTTCAGGTACTCGTTTCCTCCCACACTCCAAAGACATGCTGGTAGGTTAATTGTCCCTGTATGTATGCATATGAAATAGGGACCTTAGATTGTAAGCTCCTTAAGGGCAGGGACTGATGTGAATGTGCTCTATGTAAAGCACTGCGCAAATTGTCGTTGATATATAAACACCAATAATAAATAAAGACCTCCAAAAAAAACTAAAATATGTGCTAGCTGATCATACACTTTCCTGTTAGATATATGTGAGGGCAGAGCTATGTGTCCAAGGCATACAATTGAATGAAACATTATAAAAAACTCTAATTCCATTGGTGTTACAAGCTGCAATGGGTGTGTTGTCAGAGAGCTCCTGCAATTAGAAAAATATGAGTTGAAGTGAAATAGTGAAGGCAAAGTGAGGATTGAAGCTGATCAGATGATGGATTGCTGCATCACATTAAATTATCTTGTTAAGTAGATGAGAGCCAGGGCAGAAGGTCAAGATTTCACACGGGGTTACAATGAAGGGGAGAGGAGACGTTTGGTGTGCAAGATCCTTGTCTTTACTTTAGCATGACTTCCAGCAACCTTTACATCATGTAGGAATTTTTGAGTACACTTGTATCACTTTGTGAGTAAGGTGTCTTGTCCCCTCCCAAAAAAAGTAAGGGGAAATTATATTCTGTTTACAAGAGGCTTAAAGGCCTCCAAAACCTTTTCTTTGATTGTTCAGGCAGCTCCAGTTCCATCTGCATCTCCACAAGCTACAAATGTACTTTACACATAAAGCTAGTGTGCCATTAACTAATCCTACATCTCTAGGAGTGTCAACTGCCTCCTGATCCATGTCTGAGCTCGGCCTGAACTCATATGATATGTTCTCCGCTAAACAGCCATTCCTGTAATATGATATTTTCATCAAGTGTGTTCAATAAAACAGGAAAGGGGTTTGGGAGTTCACACATGTTGGTCCTGCAAAGTCTGCTCTCGGTCATTTTTTGTTTTGTTTTCCATTATGAAAAACAACTTATCTCAGCAAAGCACAACAAAGACACCAACACACACATCTATTCACACATTGATACCTAGTCATCTTAAAGTGGTCCTTTACCCTAGACATGTGCGCACACGTCTACTTTACCCCCTTTCACTAAAAATCACATCAGCATGCAGCTCACCATGCTGATGTGAAATAATCTTACATTCATTAGTTAAACAAACATATTTTTCTTTTACTTACAATTATTGTTTTTCTACTTCCTGGTCCTCTTTGGCACAAATGATGTAATGTGCCAAAGCATTGCATCCTGGGAAGGTTACATCAGCAGAGCATTGCTGGGAAGTCTCATCTGTAATCTCATGAGATCTCAGTGAAAGGTATTTTCCTCCCCTGAGATGATATGCATGGTCAGGAAGTAAAGGGAGATCTAGTAACCTGCCCTTAGTAAAAATGGCCACTGTCAGAAGAATGGGGAGGAAAAGTAAAATAATGTAGGCAAGAAATAAAAAGTCTGCAAATATCTATGGGCATCTGTTTGTAGATTGTATTTACTAAACATTTCTAAAGGTGTAGTTATTATCATTTCAAAGATAAGGGTAAAGTTCCTCTTTAATGCTGTTCCGATGATAACTTTTGCAATGAAGCAAGATGAATAAGCGTTGCTGATTTAAGACAGAGGGTGGGCCAATCACCAAGAAGGTCTGTCAGATAGGGTCACACTCTACTATTATAAATCATTTTGAGTTTGGGCAGTAGATCATTTATTTCCACTAATTGGGTGAGTTTAGGAGTGGGCTTCGCTTTCCAATTTAGGAGAACAACCTTCCTCACATAGAAAGGTATCACTCTAAACCATAGACCTTAGGGCAGTAGATGGTGAAAATGAGTCAGTCAGCCCCAACAAGCAAACTTCCAAGGTATTATATCCCAGGAATCCAAATATAGACACCAAAAGATCATATGCATTCAATCAATATGAGAGAAGTTTGCCGAAGTCCAGAGAATGTTATGTAGAACAGCAGGTGAACCAATATACCTATTGCAGGAGGTGCGCTCACAGTCCTTAAAAACAAGGCGTTATGTTCAAATTTTCAGGAACTGAGTGAGATTATAACAGGGTGCAGTGGTTTTGGTAAGGCTGCTTTTCAGACAATGGGATAGCACTTTAAAAAAGGGGACCCAGAGTTGAGGATGAATTGGTGAAAAGTCTAATGAAAGTACCAAAAACAAATAGTCAAAAAGTCCAAATTCTTTTAATATTAGTATTAGTTCAGAATAGGACAACGCTGTTATAAACTCATACTGATATCACAAGAATTTGGACTCATGGACCATTAGACTTTTTGCCTTGGTAAGGCTGCCATGACGAAGGCTGAGAGCAGAATTTGAAGGGCCATAATCATTCTCCTGTAAATTATTCCAAGTACAGTCCAGACTGTACTAAATCTTTATACCTATAGGATATCATAAAAGGGGAAGGGGGGAGGGGACCTGAACATCTGAGACGCATTGGGTTTTTCATTGAACACACTTGACAGATCAATTCTATCTGGACAATCATCTTTGATCTGCCACTCATGTTCTAGTAGCTGCTGTCAAAGGCTACATGCAAGCAAAGCCAGCCAGATAGTGGGGGTACCTGAACACAATCTCCACCCATTTGACTGCAACCATGTGATTCCCCTCCCTCTTATCATGGCTGTGCTCTATTGCTGGCCGCTGAACAGAGTCTGGAAGCAAATAAGTATTACCCACCTTTGACCTTGGTTTAGGATGGAAAAGTAGCTTGTGTTTGCAGTCTAGTTAAAGCTGA